TAGATTATTGTACTCTTCCTCATAATCTTATTATCTGGCTAGCCTTTTCCGATTACCTGACAGTCTGGTGTGTCGTGTCATGAGTTTGTTGTACATCGCAGGTGTTGGTCTCGTTTAGTGTTTCCGCCTGGTGCTGCATGTCATTGGCATCTACTGTGTCGAAACCAGGACCCTCTGCATCAGGAGGAATGGGATGCGCGTCTCACCAACAGAACACGCTGAGATCACCGCCCCGTTCGTTGCTGTGCCGCCACGCGGGTATCGAACGGGCTTTCAACTGAACACACATTAATGATAGTCAATTCAACAAGAAGCATTTTAATGAAATTTGAAAGAAAAATAATCTGATGAGGGAAGAAGATCTTCGTGGTGGAGTAGTTAGCGCGTGGCTTCGCTATAATGCGAAGCGTGGGTAACCCCGATATCGAGCAGTAGCGAAATCCATTTTCACTAAAAAATATAGATTTTCAAGGTTTACAAGTAAAAATAGCCCTTCCCGGGCATTCCGAATGAAATTGAATAATATATCAGCCCCATTAAGTAAAAATGTAATAATACAATAATGGATAAACCGTTGGGTCCAACCTAAAAATACGAAATAAGGAAAAGATCGAACCCAACAGCTTAGAGGACGGAAGTTCTAATAGTTGTTAGATATGAGTACATGTTTCAAAAATGAGGGAAGAGTTTATTCGTCTTCTGAAGATTTAAAATTATAAGAATTAGCATTCACGTCGTTCTTTTCGTGTTCATGCAATGTAAACTTAAACTTTATTTAAAACGCAGCATTTTCGTTTTTTATTAAAAACTAATCAATGCGATTTCCGATTTATGTATGTGATTTCATAAATTAAATTTAACTTACTTTAACTTTTCGTAAGCCTATACCATTTTATACAATATATACAATGTGTGTTTATACCATGAACTTGATCCCTGAACAATTAATTAATTACAAAGAGACAGCTCGATAGATTTTCATCAAAAACTAATTTCCCAACAGATAACATTCTGTTTTTTTTTAATTTTTGGTTAAAAAATCAGTTCAGACAAAATCGTGAACGAAAAATTTTGCACTATTTTCCTAACTGCAAAAAATCTGCGCTGCAGTTGATCAGCGCACAAAACTGATCAATGCTAGTCCTTATCGAATATCATTAAATGGCTCTTGAATTTCAAAAATCGGTAAGAAAACGTTGACAGATGATCAAATTTTGGATATTATTCCAATTTGGTGTCAAACAATTCACAAAGTATTGAGAAACATCCAGAATATAAAATTAGCAAATTTGATTTTATGGCAAAAACAAATTTCAGGAAGTTAATAAATTGTTTTATTATCTAAGTTTAAGTTATTGTTTGTTTATATTTGATCCTTTTGTTTTGAGTTCAGCTTCAAATATTTATTTGGAAAATAAAGTTATCGCTAACAATTTAATTTAAACATTGCTGTTCCCAATTGATATCTCACAGACATATTTATAATATCTGTAATTATATTTTAGAGTGCACAGACACTAGTGCTTGTATGTCCTAAAATTGTTATTTTAAAATTTTATGAATTGATAACCTTAGACTCATCACATCACAAAAGCAACTTTTGACACAAATTCTGACTATAATATTTTTTCAAACTTCAAAGAATTTTTAAAATTAAACGTAAAATTTTAGCAGGACCAACCACAAAAAAAAAAAAATCATGAAAATCGTCAAAAAAGTTTTTTCGACAGTTAATTATCAAAAACTAATCAGTATCTTTCCCAACCAATTTGAATTATTAAAATCGATTCAAAATTGCGTGTTAAAACGTGGACGAAAAGTTTGTCACTTTTCAGCTATTTACAAAGAAACGGCTCGGCCGATCGTCGCGCATAACTGATAAACGGTAGTCCTCATTGAGTTGCAACGAATTTTTGATCGGTGCAGCCGTTTTTGAAAACGTCAAATTACGGTGAAAAATTTGTTCATGCACACGCGCACACACACACATACTTTTTTCCAAATTTAGTCTCATTCGATTCAGAATGGCTCGAAACGTCGAGAAAACATAAAATTAGTGAATCGATTTTTTTTTTTTGATGAAATCAAAGTTCTCCTTCGGGAAGTTAATAATATACATGAAGAAAATTTACCTGCTGCATTTTGTCAAAATCTAAACACGGCCTATGCGTATGCCTATGAGCACGTGCTTGGTGAGATGAATTCGGCCGCGTAGACCGGCGCTTGGGTGACACTGAGCAGTGAAAGACTTTCGATGGAGGACTAAGTGAGCGAACCTGCAACACAAAAAGTAGTTGATTTAACGTCAATTAGTAGTAACATCAATAATATAGTCAAATCAAATTGCTATTTATCAGGCCATCTAAATATGTTTATTAATCTAAACAAGAAAATATGGAAAGTTGGTAGCCAGGGTGGACCACCGTTCCACAAATCGGGAATATGTGATATGCGTTGTAGATGTGATGAAATTTTCTCTAAATAATTTTGCCAATTGTCAAACATAATACATACCTGTCGTTAAAGGAGTATTCTAGTGTAAAAATAAAAAAAAATCGTTTTTTTTTATTTCATTTTTTTTTTCAAAGTTTAACTATCTAAGAATATGGGTACGAGAAGGTTTTTGAAAATTTGAATTATTTTCGGTGATATAGACATTTTACTGATTCGGTTTCCATACTGGTTTGGCTTCACGCAAAACTTTAAATGCGTTTTTCTCAGAACAGACTTTTTCAGTACTGTTAACACGATTTCTCGAGTTTTAATCGACCGATTTATTTGAAATGTTCAGAGAGTCTTGTTTATAGACCTATCTATAGCCCGAACTAAGATTATCCCCAAATTATAATTTTTACTATTTCAAAAAAAATCGATAAACTCAAAAAAACAGTAAAAAAACACTTTTTTTTTCAAACAGTCGCCAATTTCTAAAAAAAAATTTACAAACTCATCGCTAGTTCGGGCGATTGCGACATCATAATAATCTTTTTATTTTTTGCTTTTCCGATGGCTAGGACGGCTGAAATCATGTCAAGACTGAGGTGCCAATTTTTTGAGACCACCCACTTCATCAGCTGCCAGTTTTTACAATTTTCAACTTTTTTATTCTTTAATTTTTATTTTGTATGTTAATAATATTAATAAACAAGTGGTTCATTGCTTTTTTTTACGACACTTCAAAAATGACCTAAAATTCATCGCTCTACACTAGAATACCCCCTTAAATGGTCGCAACAAATCTGCTCTGGCTCTAAAGTCGTTTCACGTTTTACAAAAACCCAGTGAACTATGGGGATTTCATTACATTTATATAATGAAAAAATCAACTAAACAATGTAAAGACAAATATAAAGGTATATAAATTAGTTGGGAATAATCTTTTTTTTTTAATAGCAATTTTTTTGGCTCGTTTCAACAACGTTCATGTGGGATGGTCCACTCTGGTTTCGAACTCGTCATATATGGACAACATAAAAAACTAATTGCATGTATTGTTTGAAAATGATAGTAAAGATCATATTTAAAGTTTACTATTGCAATTATTTTAACAATTCATCGATAATACGAAGATTGTGCTTATAAACATGATGGCGCGTGTTCTGGAAATGAGTTGAAGTGACTAAAAGAAAAGTCCCAATATATTTTACTTTGATTTATAAGCAAAAATCTTCGTCCTTTTCATACCAAATTAAGAAAAGAATACAAATAACGAGACTCTTATAAAGCAAGTATGTCAAAAGACTAACGTTCAGACTTCTACTAGTGATAAGTTCTTTATACACTATACAAAACTTACCTCCATAGGCGTATCTCCGGCCGTCCATTCACCAGCAGCTGTTCCACTGCTGCCTTCCGTTTTTCCCTCATCACTTTCCCTTCTTACAATAACGATCGGTGACTCCCGTTTGATGCTTTTTGTGACTATTTCTTCGCCCCCTGAAATTAATTTGGTAACGGGTACTATCATCACAGGAATTGGAGCCGCGACCACGATTGACTGCTGACCGCTGACCGTATTAGCTGGTTTCAGTGCTTCGAGTGGTGGAGAACTGCGAAAACGAACTGGCGTTGAATAGCAACCTGTATTGTATTGGTGCTGGTTACAATGGGGCGGAGGCGAAGACATTAGAAGAAGATCATCGTAGTCAAAATCATCATCGTAGTCGTCAGAAGAAGCTGGATCCGAAGAACCACAAGCACCGCGACTGCTCGGCTGGTGCGAGTATGATGAATCACTTTTCCTAAAATTATTATTGGTATTAACAAAACCATAAAAACAAGTTATTTTCGACTTGATAACATATAAAAAAATAGACATGAGAAATATTTTCCTTCAAAATACTGTACATTCGAACAATTTTATTTAATTTTGCTGTAATGGAACCCCCAAAGGTTCCAATAATTACACAGGCACACAAAAAAGTTGACTGTTTTGGATGTTTGACTAATGTTTTCCAATGTATTCTTTACTGTTGAACACGAATCTGAAGTCACAATTGGAAGCTCAAACTTCCAAAATCAAAGAAAAATAAGAAACAATGATAAAATCTCTGACATAGACATTTTTTCTGAATGATCACTAAAATCTTATCATTTATGTCGTTTCCTAGCCATCGTTTACTTAAAGGTCTTGCGTAACGAATTTCTGAAAATTTCTGCTTTTTTCATCTCTTATTAGTATCTTTCTGCAGCGTCCAGCGACCTGCAGTAATTTGCAAACATATTTTCTCCCCATTGCTCCTAGATAATCTGCAAATATATTTGTAGCATCTCATGTGTGCAAATTACTGCTGGATGTTGAGTGGAGATACTCATAAGATAATAGAAGTAAAATTTCTGGATCGGAGATGTTGTTTTTCTTATTTTTCTTGGCCTTTTTTGTAGTTGTCTTCTAATTGTGACTTCAAATTCGTGTTCATAGATAAAAAATAAATTGAAAAATATATGTCGCACTCCCAATATAAACAACTTTTTTTACTTGCTTTACAGTAGAACTCCAATTATCCGAACTCCAATCATCCGAATCGCCGATTATCCGAATCACTTTCAGAAAAAAAATTGTCCAAAAAAAGTCTAAGTGCGCTATTATACTTCCACCAGCGAAGCCAGTGTAGGCACATTGTTTGTTTTGATTTGACGGAGATGTTTAAGAAACAATGATTTTTATTTCTAAACTTGTACATAAGTACATTTTATTTATATTTAAAACATGTGAAAATATCATGTTTCTTTCATTTAATTCAATAAAAAAAATAGTGCAATATCAAAACGTAACTTTTTTTCTCTCCAATGGCAATTTTTTTTAAAAAAAACTCCGAATATTTGATTATCCGAATCGGTCCCGGTCCCCATTAATTCGGATAATTGGAGTTCTATTGTATTTCAATAATAATAAAAGCGACTAGTTCATCTCCGTTTTTTTCATTATATTTTCATTAGAATTATACAGTAGAACCTCGTTTTTCCGGACCTCAGTTATACGGATTTGCGATTATCCGGACTCTCAACCGCGACCAATTTATATGTATATTCATACCTACAAGTCGAATTTTTGCATGATTGATGCTGCAGTTTAGTATATGTATGTAATGTAATCTAAGAAAATATATATGTACATACTAGAGATGGGTAACTCACTCCGGAGTTATCACTCCACCCTCGGAGTGAATCCGAGTGGAGCTGTCTCACAGGATTTATCATATCCGACATCCCTAAACTGGTACTAAATCTGTTAACATATGCAGATATTTACTTGAGAATTTTTACTAATGCAAAGATTTGGGTCGAAAGAAGTATTTTTTTTCCTCGTCTCACAGCCAGTTTTAGGACTTTCCAGGTATATAATGTCTCAAAATAATGCTATTTTGTATTCTATATTCATGTTTGTCCGTAAATGAGCTCTTTCAATGGTATACAACCAGCTAAAAAATATTTCGTATTATATTATAACTTTTACACAATTATGATTTTATAATTGTGTAAAAGTAATAGTATGCTAATCAAACTACCTGATGTATAATTAATTTTCGAAAAGAAAATAATAAAAGAATGTGAAGTAATATTATTTTGTGAAAAATATTATACACAAAGATTTGTTCTTATTTCATACATAAGGTTCACTGCATTATTTTCATATAAAAATTAACATATTAAAAAAATTCTATATTTTCTCTGCAAAAATAATTACAAAATTGATTTTGATTCCCAAGTTTTTTGTCAATTTAAGATTTGTATGCATATAGAAATGCATAAAATAGTAATTATTATAATAAAGTGAACAAAAATGTTTGAACTATTTGTAAACTATCCAAAGTTTTAATAAATCCTTAGATATGTTAACAACACTCTGGAGAACACATTTGTGTCAAGTATTATGTTTCAAAGTTGTCGGAGTTGTGGAGTTGTTAAGTGGATATAAGTCCTCTCTGAAGCGGAGTCAAATCCTAACCGATCCGGCTTCGGATATGATAAGCCCATCTCTAGTACATACATAAGAAATTTTCAATTTTTGAATAAACATTATTTTTGTTGATATCTATGTATGTATTTATTATTTTTAATAAATACACAACATTATTGTTCATGCATCCGATTATCCGGGTTTTCGATTATTCGCATGCCTGTCGACAACCCGGTTAATTTAGTCCGGATAATCTAGGTTCTACTGTATTTAAAAGATATCCGAAAGGAGAAGCTATAAATTTTTTTAATAAATTTTTTAGTCTAAACGGCTTGAGAGCATAATTTGCCAAGCAATTCAAGAGCATTATTGAAATGAGATTGTACTAATCTAAAACCTTTATTTTGAGATTTATAGCTACATATTATAAGAACATAGTTGCTTCTAAAATTCAATAAATTTTTAAATCAACCGGGTTAATTCAACATTAATTATTAAGAATTTTATTATTACTGATTGTGCAATAATAGAGAAAAATGCATTATGAATCCAATAATTTTATAATTCGTCGCTGGATTGATATTTACCTCGCGTGACAATAAACTGGGCCTACTCGTGACCACTTTCTTTTCTCAGGCATTGGAAGTGCGGCTGCGGCCGAAGCGCACCGCAATCGATTGACTAGATGCCTATCGTTCTGCTTACTGGCTATCAGGCCACCGCTAGGCGTATGCAGGTCTGCAAAAATTATCAGGATGAGTATCATATGAATGCATCAAATTTATCATAAGAAGAAAAATATCCACAAAAAATGACATGTTTACTTTTATCAATTATTTGTGATGCAAAAATACGAGTGTATCTCTGAACATAATCTTATTTAAGAAAGTAAAACCTTATTTTACAATCCAAACCCAGCAGTCCTGTAGTACCTTGTAGTGAGGTGACCATACATGCCGGTTTGCCCTTGCATCTCGGGTTTTTCTAGAACAATATTTGTGCCGGAATTTTGTCCCGGGTTGTACCGGGTTTTTGAAAAGTATAGGTCTAGATTGAATCTTTGCTCTTACTTCATAATAAAATTCAACTACCCATCAAATATCTGAAAATGTTATGTACAACAGGTGTGCTTATATAAAAAAGGCGGATTAAATTAGCCTCTCACATTCATAATTTTGAACTTTTATTTTCAATTTTACAAAAATTAACAAAAAATATGAAAATGAACTTCTTGACTGCCTAGAATAGGTGCTAATTATTTTTAAACAATTATGAAGAAAATTGACCAAAATTTTATAATTAGTTTGATAGCTTTAGACAAAATAATACATATAGTCGAATAATAAAGTTCTTAGACAGTTTTTCTGATTTAAAAAAAAATTACTAACCTAAAAAAGATGGATTTTTATTGCATTCTTAAATAGTATTTGTTATCTTGATATAACACCACCACCCGTCCCAGATTAGCACAACTAAAAATTACCGTACCGGTTTTGACTTTCAAAAATATGGTCACCTTAATTGTAGCTCGTTGTATTATGCATATATAATTTGTAGATATTCATAATATTTTATTTTTTCTTACTAGTATTTTCAATACTCTAAGAATCACAATATTATGAAATCACAATTACACCATAAATCCTGGCATTTTGTATGTTTTTTACTCATATACACAAATTGGAAAATAGTACACATATCAAGTCTGAATAATGTTTAAATATGTTTTACTGGTTTACAACTTCATCTTATCTAATATTCTACAATTATGTCTACTAGTTCAGTTGGTAACTACTAACGATAAGGGAGAGTAAAATGAGGGATTCTGTGTCAACTCTATAAATTTAAAGATCCATAACGATGTTTGTCAACATATCAACTCTATAAACTTAGCCAGTTAAGTTTAACCAGTGAATTTTGTGTATTGACGAGTATATTCGTCATGCACAGAAACCTCACCATCGGCTATATAGATTGCGTTTTTTTGGAAACAAAAACATACTCTCAAATTGCATGTATGATTGTTATCATATTTTAAGGCTCAGTCGCTCTAAAACAAATAGTACAACTATTGGTATAGGTGGCATTTTACCTAAAAACGACATTTGACCTCATTTCTGACGACAAAAAACTGTGCCACAGGTAACTGGTCAATAGATAATAAGATTTTTATTATATCGACTAATAATTTTAACTGATTTCAACTAATCCTATGTTGCCCTCCACATGTACCAAAGTCGTTTGGTAATTCTACGAACTTTGTTCATTCCGCATATTTAGCAAAAGAAACTATCTTTAGAACTCATAATAATAAGTATGGGTAAAACAAAGTATGTGCTTAACTCATACCAGAATGTATAAACTATTTCAGTAATTTTTCATAATATATAAATTAGAATATCATAACGAAAATGTGGGGTTGTTATAGAAACTGTTCAATCTAATGATTGAGAACACTCACATTGTCACATTGGAAGCATGTTTGGAGCAAGTTTCAAATCTGCCAAAATATATAAAAAAAACATTTGTTTGATTCAGAACCACGAACCTATGTTCTACATATGATTCCATTCTCTACTCAACTGGTTAAAATACAAATGTAAAACTATGGGGCCAATTCTGCCGCATAACAGAAAAATGTTATGGCAAGGCCATGTTTGGAATAACTTTCCCTACAAAATCTTGACAAAATCCATGGGGTTGGTGTGCAGTCAGGCGTATTTCTCATGTTGTCACATATAAAACCTATACTAGAAACCGCACAAATGCCAAGTAAACGATCTTAGATAACAGGGTGTTTCTGACACTGCTTCATAACATACGAGTGACGTTGCAGTTTATGTGTAAAACTGCCTGAATGCACAGCAAGTACATATCTTGACAGTATTCAGTATGATTCAGTAGCATAATGTATGGGAGTTATGGAGGGTAACATGGCCTTGCTATAACATTTTTCTGTTATGCGGCAGAATCGGTCCATATGTCTTTAACATATAGACGCTTAGATTCCGAAAAATTTGAACAGTCTGATATAATCTTGGGTTATATTAAAATTATATCAATAAAACAATTTTTTGAATATGTCTTTTAATAAAAACTTATGACCCATAAACATTATTTTCTCCGATTTTCATTATTCAATATGCTATTGGTTTTCTGTATGTTTAACATTTGTGTTGCTTATACAAAAATAAACTTTCAGTGATCGATGGCATGATAAAAAAATCATCAATGCCGACACCTGTTGCTCCACGAAACAATCTATGTTTTCAGTTCTTTAATGTCAGAATACGTAAATGGTCATTACCGGTATAACGTGCCCGTGAAAATGATCAATTTCATATTCTAACGTGTCATGTTAAGTCAACGCGAACAAGTGCCATAAAAGTTTCATATAGCCAGATATTTAATTCATGGCACGCCATTTTGAAATAATTGCTGCTCTTTGAAACTACATCCTGTATCGTTTCCCAACTTTTTTCCGTGGGAAAGAAAAACCTTTAAAACCGATAAAATGCGAATTGAATTCGTTCCGTACAAACAGCTTCTTACTTAAATTCAAGCATATTTTTAACTTCCCGTAGGGTCAAAACATTTTGGCACACCTCAGAAAACATTGATGTGTGTTTGTGTTTTGTATTTCGGCATTTTTTCGTCCACGTTTTCGGGCGCACGGATCAACCAATTTGAATGGTTCAAAAAACATTCGATTCTCATTGATAAGGAGATGTGCTGATTAGTTTTTGGCAATGTCACAATATTTATAATAATCTCTTTGAAAACACTTAATATTCCTCGATCATTTCGTTACGGTATGGGAAGTTCCAGTAATTTGCCTTAAGGCACGATGCCATGCTCCACTAGTTTTAATATGTAGAGTAAATATATTTCAGGTTAAGTACTGATTCACACATTTACATTTTGCTATTTTTTTAGATTTATTGTCTGATAGAAAGCAAAATCATATTCGGCAGTAGTACTATAATTAAGCTTATAAAAATTGCACTTAAATTATGAAATCCATTCTGAATTTTCTAATCTTGTTCAGAAATTTAAAAAGCACGTTTAGTAGTTTTTTAGTTAATTTATGGCTCCGCACAAGTATTTTGCATGAAGATGACAGGATGACATATGTACATATACACAGGTTTTCAGAACAAAAAGTTAGATTTTTTTACAGAGAAGTCATAAAAGTCAGCCAAAAAAATTCTATGTTTCAATAAATTTAGGTGCCACCATGTAGTTGCATTTGGGTGCAATTTGCTTTAAACTGGTAGAACAATTTTAATTATGACCACAATGCTTGTTTGAAACAAATGAAATGAAATTTCACTCATTTTTCACTTTGAAGAATTTTAAGTTATAGGTAAGAATTTATAACACGCTTTTAATTCAAATTCTAATTTTGAGTAATATTTATAATCTGTAAAATTATTGATTAGTAATAAGGTGACATACATACACGTAAAATAAAAATTCAGGAATAAGATATGTTTGGGAAGTTTAAAAATAATGATAAGTTAAACGGTTTAAAATACTTCATAATTTCCTATATTGATCATATATGGTAAAATTATTTGTGTTTCATTAAGAATTTTTGTGGCGAGCATAGCTCACTTGGTAGCGTGTTCGATTCACACGACAGGGATCTTTGGATCGAATCCTGTCATTGACTTAGGTTTTATGAAAAAAACTGTGTAGTTGAAATTAAATTAAAATTGTATTTGTGAAGTATAAATTAAATATAAATTAAGAAAAATAGGAATTACAGCATTCGAAAAGCTAAATTGTATTAGGAGTAAGAAAAAATATCAGAATTTGCTGAGATTAAAAAGAAGAATGAAGAAAAAATGGAATAAAGATCAAAGTTGAATAGAATTAGAAATTTGATACAAAACAGCAAAAATGTGAGAAATTAAGAAAAAGAAGAATATATAATAAGACATATATAGATTGATTATGATATAAAAATTGGTATAGAATGTAAATAAATAAAAATCTTGTAGGTGGCGAAATGCTCAGAATAAGCGAGGCCAAATTCTTTTTAAAAAAATAAGATTTTTCAAGTATTAAAAAGACTTTAATTTATTATTTTTTGTTAAAATTTATGATTTAACATTATAAGATAACATGTCGCCAGGTAAAATAAAAATTCAAAAATATAATATTTGAGAAAGTTAAAAATAATGATAAGTAAAAGGTTTAAAATACTTCAAAATTTCCTACATTGATCATATGGTAAAATTATTTAGGATTTTTGTGTCTCATAAGGAATCTTCAAGTATATTTAGTTGAATTTATTATTTTTTTGTAAAAATTTATGATTTTAAGTCACATGAATAATTATCATTATAATAGTAAACATGCGGCATTATTATACAATAGTTATATTTATATTCACTTGAAAATATATATCGCAAATATGTTTCTTAGTAAAAATAGCCTTCGGGCACTGCTATGCAAAATATATATGTAAAAATTGAATAGAACAGGATATGAAAATAGAAATAACATATGTAAAAATCAATATGATAAAATTTCATTGAATATGTATAACGTCGAATAGTAAAGGAAATAACATACAAATGTATAAGGCTGAATGCTACGGCGAGGCCAATTAAAATATATAAAAATAAATAACAAACATCTTGAATAATATTATAATACGATTTTCCAATAAATTAATTGATGCCTTGAAGGGTAAAACAATTAATTTTAATTGGATGTCATCCGCAAAT